TTTGTAGATGCTGCATATGCACAAAACCACATTACGATATATCGCAATTGAATCTGAGCCACTCGAGTGAGCAATTTAATTTGCTGAAGTCTTCAAAATTATGGTTCACTTGAAAAAGCACAAGTAGAGAAAAAAAGATACATAGGCCTGAAGTGGATGAGTTAATTGCAAGCTAATCCTGCTTAGATGTAGTGCAGGTACAAAAGAACCTGCTGGAATAAAGGCCAAGACCTGGTCATATCAATAGCAGGTGCACTGACACACTTCAATTCTCTTTTTAATTTTTTTCTGGACCAGTTCTTCTGGGATATAAATATGTAAAAGTGTTTCTGTTCAGTGGTTTTCAAAAAGCCGTTACGACGTGAGAGAGGAAGGGCAAGTATTTTACAGACAGGGTGAAAAAAGCAATGTATGGCATTTACATTCTTTATAGGAAGAAATATTTATTTTGTACTGTATAGAACACTGCTCTTAATAGCAGAAACGTTCATATATTTTAGATATATGCAAAAATGTGTTCTTGTCGTGAAAGGAAATTAAGAGATAAATGATTATACTATATTTGTCCTATTATCTTTTAATTATTTTTAAAGGAAGTGTGCAATTACTGTACCTGTCAAGTCACCATTAACTAAAGGCAAAATAATCTTTGAAATGCAAATGAACTGTTCACTACATCAGTTTAGTAACAATATCCTTAATTGCATTTCATCATTTTCTTCTTGAAGTCTTTATAACTGTATTTTTGAAAATGATGCAATTAACTAAGTCGTGTTTTTCTAATGCTAATTTCTGTTAAATACTTTTTTAAGGATTCAAAACAGTTTAGCAGAGAACAATGCATCGCGCTTATACAGTACTGACACCATTTGTTTGATTGCCTCATATTAAATAAGAAGGTTGTGATCTTTCTATCCATCCATTTTCAATCAGTGCTCAGTCCAAGACAGGGCTGGGTTGTGGTGGCCAGTGCCTAACCAAGCAGACAATGAGCCCAAGGCAAGACACATTCAGGATGCAATTTAGACACATCAAATAATTCCAGCTGTGAAATAACAGTACATCACAAATTCATATCCTAGTACAAGACTCAAAAGACACGTTAAGGAAGTAAAAACTCACATTAAGTTATGATGGAAACTGGAAGAATATGGAACAGAAGACATTTGATTTCTCTCACAAGTTCAGCTAGATGCAGTATTTTTTCATTTTTTTTTACAAAAAACAACATTCAATCCTTTTTCACATAGAAACATTAACAAATATAAGCATCTAAAAAAAAAAAGTAGTCACACTATATCCCCCCAAAAAACTGGGTGGAATCTGTTTCTGACCGACATACCAGGTTCCATACAATAGCCCTTGGCCAGACACCGGGCAGGAGAGAGGTTCCCTGGACCACAGGGCACCTGCCTGCTTTTAGAATACTGCAAATCTCTTTTGGATTAAGATTGGCTTCTCGCATGGGGTGTCTCAGTCATGCACAGATCATTGCAGGAGATGGTCAGTATTACAGCCACTGGTTTTTAGCAGATGTTGCAGCTCCAGTTGGAAGCCACCAGGATCAGACAGTTATTATGCCCACAACTCTTCAGGAGGTTAGTAACAAGGAGAGGCCTCATTGTCCCTCTCAGCAGATAGATGGCGTCCTCATGTGGAATGAAGCGATAGTAGAGCTCTGCTTCTGCTACTGTGGTTTTCGTTCATGCCTACTGTTTCCCAAGAAATCCACTTGGGACTATACTGCACACAGTACTTAAAGACACCATCATTGTCATGGATTTCTTAGTTAAGCAATCAGAACAAGATAGGAATCCCAACCCACAGGATTGGGGAACAACCTCAGACCCTAATATCAATGGCACTATGGTCAAACCAACACAGCTACCCACACCCATGTACAGTAGAGACATCAGACTTTACTTCCCAGCAGACCTCCACCATGCCCCTCTACACTGCTTGCTTTTGCACTAGCCCCATTTATACTGTATGTATACAAGCTGTCTTCACTATAACCAAGCAGTTTAAAGCCAACAGGAAACTATGAGCATCATCAGTCTTGTCAACAGTATATAACCTACCCCCTAAAGTGACCCAACAGCACTATTAGAAGTGGTAATTACTGAAATAACTTAATGAACCATGTGGTAAATAACTCTTAGTCCATTAAGTAAAGAAATTGATTACTGCTTTCTAAATAATTCATGTATTTAGAAAGACAGATGCTTGATCAATATCAGAACATTTTTTCCATGGCTCCCTCCCATTCCAAATGCAGATATTTTTCTTCTTTTTCTTCAAGTGCTTTGAGAAGCCACCTTTAAAGGAGCTATATAAAAAAAGTGTATTATTATATTATTATTCTTTTAACTAACTGTTGCAGTTTTACTATGAATTGGGTAATTTGCACTGCAAATTTCTCTTCATAATAAACATGACACATTTCTCTTGGTAATAATTTGACCACATTTTTTACTTCCAGATTTATGCTTATAAACCTGAATATAAATCTTTGGTGTCAGAATGAGCCCTCTGCTTGGCTATGAATTTCAGAAGGCCTTTGAAGGCCAGAATATTGGTGACAAGGTTCTCTGAAGAGTGTAGGTCACCAGGACTTAATGACAGAAACTGACACATTGTATGACATTATCACATGATTACATTTTAAATTGTTAAACACCATTCAAGGTAATATTTGAGGAATTGAAGGGTGTTTGTAAGACTGCATGCTGAGGTCAGTGTTCTAATGAATTAATGTATTTAATGTGCTATGACATCATTAGAAGGTGATTGTCTCTGGTGAAGAATGATTCATTTCCTCCTGAAAAGCAATGCCTTGAATCAAAAACAGCTCATTAGGTGTATCCTTGTGCCAGCCTTTGCAAACACATTTCATCACAGACATGATATATTGCAGCCATTTACCAAGCGCCACTTCCACAAAGAAAATAGTCCAAGATGAAAGCTCTCTTTCACTCCAATATGCACTTTCCATTAGCAGGAAATATAAGTAAAAATAATCCTAACAGGTTGTTTTTAAATTTCGTTAGTCATGACCTTCTACTTCAATGGGATTTGAAGTAAAACTAAAAATATCTACTGTAGGTGTCATTGAAAGGTACTGTATGTGTCCTGAACCCAACCTCTCAGCAGTGCACAAATGAGGTTAATGATTTCACATCTTTTATCCATGCCTGACATTGAAGTCTTTGAGATTTTAATTAGACTAATGTTTCCAACAGAGCAAAGCTTTTGAAACATCTGTTTGAAAAAAAAAACACCTGTGAAAATCACACCATAAGTAAGACATTGGTTGCTTTTGTTTGTTTATTCTATGGTAATATAAGCTTTTTGAAATCCTCAACAATCCTCAACAAGAATAGCACTTTTCAGTGAACTACCAAATGCTCGCTATTTGAATGTTATGATAACCAGGCTGCTACAGACAGCCTTCAAAGATCACAGCTATTTATCTTTTCTTTGTAAATGCAAAGAAAATGCAGGTTCAAAGTTAAAAGGATGAAGTGAAACAAATTCTCAGTTATGGGCAGAAGTATGCAGATAATTGCAGTTAATCGTTATTTGTCTTCTTTTTTCAGAGCAGTAGCCTGACATGAAGACAAAAGATAGAACCTTATTGGGTTACTGGCAGTGGATGCGGTGGTTTGCATGGGAATTGTGATTCACTGCACAATTTGGTGTTAACATCAACAAGATTATTTTTGGAGTGTATCCCCCCTGTAAAAATGTTACCGTATTTATTTCAATTCAATGTGTGAACAACAGCACAATTACTGTTAGGATAAAGTGGGTGTATGCACTCTGAAGCAGTCACAGAGGCATGGACAGTAAGGATTCTGAAGACCGATAATCACAGTATGATTTCATTGGGGTTATCAGTATCAGCATGCTGATTTTACATCTGAGTGTAAAAAAATTACCACGATGCATTACCTTGAGGGAGCAGATTTCATTTTTTGCATCCCTGACCTTTTCACCCCTGTAAAGGTTTTCAATATGGTATGTATGTGGGAAACTCGGAAATTGATGATAACTCGAGAAGAAGCAGGTATCTTTCTCTCTAAATATTTATGCAAACCACTTGCACACTGCTACAGACACTTCATGAGCTGCAGTTTGTTAAGATGCTTGCAGATGCAAAGATAAGTGGCCTTAATGCTATTTAGCTCTTTCACACTAGAAAGATATGCCAGAGAATGCTAATGTAATTATTGTGATGCTTATGCCGAGGCAGCTCATTTGTGAAACCTTTCCACTAAAGGCCAGCTTTTGGAAGAAAAAGAAATCCTTCACATTAAACACGTCTCCTTTTTTCATTCAAACCTCATTTTACATGAAGCATTAAATCTACTCATCCACCATATGCGTGCAGATGTACGTTTTTTTTAACTGTATTGCAGACTCCAAAGCTTTTGAGTCAAGTGAACATTGTAATTTGGCACTAAGAATTGATTTTTTTTTCCTCTCTAAGCAACACAATTCTGACTTGGCAGAGTATGACATCAGGTTTACTACTTAGTCTCCATAAACTCTTAAGGTTATTACTTTGGTTGTTTAAATGCTTAATTATTTAATGTTAAAAAGACTCCATACTATTTAGTTCTATTTAATTTCACTTGGGTTTTTTGTAATGTGTACTTTTTTTCCCTGCCATGAGATTTCATTTTTCTAGGGTAGAAATTCTTTAGATATTTAAGCCAAATGATTTATTCCAATTGATTACATACACCCTTTTCCATGTAAATTTAATTGCTAGATCAAAAATCACATTTAGCTGTTTCTATCTTCAAAAAACAAAGACATATATTTTCAGCTGTTATTAGGTGTAAAATACTGTCTGCCTCCAGTTCCTAAAACCTAAAGACCCCAGCTATCAAATAAGATTAACACTTCTGCTGCTACTGTACTGTATGTTATTTGTAGTGCTTAGTAGTATCACAACAAATGTATGCATGGGTAAACAAAAAATGTCTCTCCACTTACCCTCATGCCCAGTTCAATATTTTCACCTCCATAAACTTCCATTCCTGGATCCAGAAGTCCAATTTCTCCAAAATATTCTCTGTTGACCACAAATGAGCAGCCAATCATCGCTGGAGTCCTAGGCACAGGTAAAGGACAGAGTCTTGAGCAATTTTAGAATACTCTTGCATCAACAAAAACATATATATCTCACTTAATTTAAGTGATAGGCAGCTCCAGGCCGTGACCTTACCTTAATTACTGTACTTAATGGAACTCATCGCTTTTTTGTGAACTAATTTGTATTCTTTAGGTCCTAATCAATTGCTAATTGGCAATTTCTGAGATACAGCGAATGAATATACTGTGTATATAAAATATGGAGTCTCAGTCTTATAAACAAACTTAAATATAAGGAAAACATTTGCTTTTCCAGGCCTCTATTTGCATTACTGTATACAGTAGAGTGTACTATTTATTTCAAGTTTATTGATGAGGCCCCAGTGGCAGCCTGAGCTCTGGAGAGCTTTCTCGGGAGAGAAATGTTGATATTTTCATATTTCTGATATTTTCAGGTGGAGCAATTGCTGTATCATACTTCAGAGCTTAATTCTAGGGCTCACCTGGGAGTCGGGAGGATTTTTCAGAGTAGGGCTACAACTGGAAGCGAACAGCTGGGTTTGCTGTTGCAATCCAATGTGTGGATGAGAAATTCTTTCAGGCATTGGCATGCTCAGCAAACCTTCACTTGTAGTGTTCATTAAACTCAATTTGAATGAAACTGAGCAAGTGTGGGAGACCCTATAAGTAGGCCTGGAAAACCTTTGCTGAGCTCCAGGAGCTATCTGGTTACAACTGCTGCATGTCCTTCTCTAATTTGCTTACTGTATTTCACTTTGGATTTCATATTTCTCTGCATGCTTTTGACTACTGTTTAGCACGCATTCTACAATTCTTGTCTGAAGCTGCGTTATGGATTTTTTCTACTGCACATTGGAAATCTAATTTCCCATACTCCAAGACTGGCAAATGATTTACTGCACGGCACGGGAACAACTGGTGTCCCCTTCAAAAAGTAGTTCTTTTAACATATTCAGTTAGGATTAGGATTGGTTCATAACCTCAATCACAGAATTGCATGATGTTACAGTCATAAATAGTACAAAACAGTTAATGTTCAAATTCCAATTTGTGATGAGATCAAAATATGTTTACATCACTCAAATGCTTTCATCTGGTGCTCAAAATGAGGGAATGGGGATTCATTCATGCTGTCTTAAGGAATATTAAGATTTCTCATTTAGCAATACTGCTTGCTTTTGAAAGTGCAGAAAACAGGGAATTATTTTCGCAGTTTATTGTCTGGAAGCACTTGCAATTATAACTTTATAACAATTATAACAAAACAAAAAAAAAGAATCTCAGTTACTAAGCTTATAAAATAATTTCCTTTTTCAGATCAAATAAGCCAGCACACCACATTTCCTCCCCAAATCAGAAACCTAAGGTTGAATTTGAAAATCGTCCTTCAGTACTACACTGATAATAGTTAAAATAAATGTAACTTTTCTGACAAAAGGACTGAAGAATTAAACAACATATTTATAAATTCTGAGGTTTTTACTTTTTGTTTTTTGTATCAAAAACAAAGTTATGTCCTTGGTATTGTGTAAAAAAGACTGAAATTAATGGAAAATTGAAAAGATGATAAAACTGGCATATAAGAATACTGACACAAATTCAATTCCTACAGAAAAAGGCAGTTTTATTATATAATCACACAAGTGTAGGTACACTTTAACCATCAAAATTAATATGATCACTCTGCAGTATTCAGGTAGTTTATAGGTATTATTAGTATTAAGAAGGAAAAGATTGTAATAAAGCAATTATTGTAGTAATCTTTATATACTAAAATTACTTTTTTAGACCAATCAAATTTATAAATTGATTTGGTGGTGCCTGTTGAACCCAATATTAGAGAAGAAAATACATCAAGCTGGAACAAACCTGTTCTTTTGACTGTATGCTAATTGTTAAGATCATTTTTTGCACTGACACTGTGTGCCACTGTGTTCAAAAGTGTTTTTAGCTATCATAGAGACGTACTGTATGCAGTGTTGATTAAGCATTATATGTACTGGTTCACCTAGTAAATAAATCCAAATTGCAGATAAAACCGAGGAAAACTGTATCATAGGATGATGAATGGAAAAAGAAACATCAATAGGAAGCACATTTCTGAGATCAAGTAAGTAAAATGGTGAGAAAGTAAATGGTGGAACTGTCTCCTTAAGTTGGTATAATCCTACACATTCTAATATAGGAATGCATTTAATTGTTTTTGTGATACACTACATAGAATTTGTTTAAACTAATTGTTAAAGAACTGAATTACTGCACATTTGTTTATGAGTACTTTCAAATTAAATACATTTCTCCAGTCACTTCTTAGAAAAAGGGCCTTAAAATATCACAGCATCATTAATATGCACAAATATATGCATATAAATAAATATATGCATTTACAGTACACCGCTTAAATGTCATTGCAACACATCATAGAGAGATCTAACAGACCAAAGCATACTAACGATTTTAACAAAGCATGAACAGTTTCTCTTGAAGACCAGTTTGTTTTAAAACAGAATCATTAATTAATATTGTAGTCATTATTCAGTGTATCAATTTTTTAACAGCCAGAGCTTTATAAATAATAGAGAGCAGCTTTAGCCCTGCATACCGGATAGGAGCTGTCTCATCGCCTTTGTCCAGCCAGTCCTGAGGTGGGATTATGTACATACACCACAGCCCCCAGTTATAGCCATGTGCAGCATTGGCATATTGCTGCACCTCAAATGTGTTGTACTTGATGTTGTCAATAGCTGGCAGAATAATGCGGGTGTGATCTTCCTTCACTCTGGTCAGAATTGGCTCAGCCCTGTAAAAAACAGCAACAGAAAGATGCACTGAGAATTAAGGCCACAGCAAAAAAAAGGTGGATAGTATCTCCTCTTTAGAGATGCAATCCAGTGGTGTCTTTGAAATCCATCATATTGTGCTTCAGTTCTTGCCTGGGTGGAAAAGTGGGATTTTATTCCATTTCTTGGAGCTATGAAATAAGGTGTAGGAAAGCAAACAATGGAACAGCTTCTGCTCTCCTCTACACTCTTCCCCTCTGGATATTTTCAATGTCATCTTTCTGATGCATTACGTGGGATGTGTGAGATTAAGTATTTTAATTTCATTTCTAAAATAGTAAAGTAAAAATAACACTGTGAACCACAATCTCAAGGTAACACCAACAGAAAAAACAATCTGAAATCTTTAATTGTGTTGAACTTCATCAAACAACACAGCATTTGCTCTGCAATCATTAAAATCTACAATTAGATTAATAGACTTGAATGATTTCAGAACACATCCTGTTATCCACTATTGCAGTCTTAATACAGTGTGTTGCTGAACATTTAAAATTTCTATTAGCTTTCCCACACTTCCCGAGTTACAGCTGCAAAAAAGAATATATTCACATTCAATCCTGTTTCCAAAAATAAATAGGAGCAATGGATTCTACAATCTGATGTATTGCAATCTGTGGTATGCCACAATGTTAAAATGTTAAAAATGCATTTAACATGCACAATGTTAAAAATGCATTTGTTAACATGCACAATGTTAAAAATGCATTTGTTAACATGCACAATGTTAAAAATGCATTTAGTTCACTGATTCCAGGATTCATAACCTGGTAGAAACCTAACTGTCAGAACTATGTATTCATTCAGAAAAAAAATGCTACTTTTGTTACAGTATTTGTACTTCCAGATGTGAAAATACTGAAAATTATTAAGTTATTAGGTACAGTGTTATAGTCCATTAAAATCCCAGATATCTTTATCTTTGACATGGCTTAGTGTGTATTTTGTATCTGAAACTGTACACATGAAACAAAGACAGCAACTGTGGAGCAGTTGAATAGTGACACCGTGAATGTGCTTGTGAAATCACAGCTGGAGAGAATTTGATGCACATTCTACACATATAGTATCATAGTGTCAGTGCTAATACCTTTAACAGTGTTTTTCTCCAGTGTACAGTACTTGGAACACAATGCTTTCTTTCTTGTTAATCTGTTGGAGAAGTTTCCCCCCACATCCCCTTAAAAGTCAGTCAGGAGTCTGTCTCATAAATGAAGAGAAGTTTTTATTTCATGTGCATGGGAGCGAAACACATAGAGATGCTGGGTGTATTTTTGTCAAACTACTAAACTAGAACAGTCCTTAAATATTTTTTCTGTTAACTATCACACTTCCTTGTGCTTACAAGATTCACAGTGTTCCAAAATCACGCACATCTTCCAACTTCCCTATTTGCTAAAGATAATTTATTTAAATACTGTACAATTGGTTACTTCGGTTCATAGCTCACAGTCCTATATATAACACTTATAACACTATAGAATTACATAGCAGACCTTTTTCCAATCCAGTTCAAACCAGGTCTGAATCTCCACCTTATAAAATATTGCATCTTCTGCAGGAAAATTGTGTACAAAGTTCACAGATACCCTCTCAACACCTCACTGTTAATTGTGTTTATTATTATTAAATTGCTTACCCTATTTAGGTTGACTGGCTTACAATATAATGTTTCAAGTATCAGGCTGTCTGCACACAAACAAACTAGAAACCTTCTGTAAGGTTTAGCAGTATGCAAAACAGGCAGTTCTACTTTGAAATTGAAATTAATGTGATGGAATAGAATTCTTTCTTTAAACTGAAGCTTAATGTTATTATTTATGTAAAAAAAATACTTAGAACACCAGTAATTAAGGAATTGTTGTACCAAAACCAGGCTTCGTTTGTTTCTGGATTTTTCCAGACAAACAGGTGGAATCAACATTTATCTATTTATCTAAAAACACAGAAATAAGAAATAATGACATTAAATGATGTTCTTTCCAAAACAGATACTGTACAAACATTCTATTGTCTTTTTCCCACAATTGTCTGCTTAAATGTCGAGCTACTATTGCATTTAGCGTTTAAAGCACGTGTCATTGTTAACCAGTCTACACTGTAATATTTCTACAAGGAATACAACCTTCGATTAAAACGCACATGGTCATATTTTTTTGTTTCCATGTGAAGATATTGTTTTTGCCAGTGCATGACAACATTTTGGCACACACCATAGAATTGCAGAACTCTTGGTAGTCTGTAACAAGTGGGTTGGATTATCACTAATGTGCTTGGCTGCTACAAATACGACCCAAGAGGCCTTTGGCAGACCAAAACTTCTCTGTATACAGTACCTTCAACCATGCCAGATCTCCTGACATGAAGTTGCAAGCATGAAAAATGGCTGCCTCAGCACACCATCTAACATTTCACTGCTGTTGCTTTTGAGACCCTAGGTTTCCCTTCCTATCAACCAATGTACTTGAACATTCCTTTATAGATCTGAGCAGGGCAGGGGGAAGGGAAAGGAACTGCTGAGTGAAGTGTCTCGAAGGAGTTTTAAAGGAAATACCACACTGTGCTGTTAATAGCATCTGATATAATAGCATCTCTGGAAAAACCAGCTGAGAATGTTACAGCTGCTGTTTGTGTGAAGACCTGCATAAGAAGTTCTTCTTATCTGCTTGTATGTCAAAGCTTCAGTGGAAAACATAATCTTTTCAAGTTTTCATTGTGAGGTCTCATAGGCTTGAAATATGACAATACACATAAGGGGGGCGGTATACTGTATATAGTTGGTAAATGTCTGGCTTTATAGCTAGTGGGTTTAAGTCCCTGCTGCGGACACTGCTGTTGTATTTTAAGAGAAGTACTTTACAGTTGCTCGAGTCCACCCAGTTGTATAGTTGGGAACCAGAACTGCTGGGGAATAATCCCTGTGATTAACTGGCATCACATCTGGGTGGGTGTGGGAATCATTGACTTTCTGATCACTTCACACCTAATAATGACATTTACAAGGCCAGTTAAGTCACATGCCTTGTATTTGTAAAATCAAATTAGTCAAAACTATCAGAGATAACTGCAAATGTCAGAGAAAAAAAAATCCAAGACTGAAATAATTAGGCAGGCATACAGTAAAAAACACATTTTTTGAAGACTTGCAAAAAGTGTCTGAAGACATACAGTATACGGTAGAAAGAGATTACTGTCGAATTAAGTACAGATCTCCTGTACGGTCCAGCCTGAGTAACTAACAGGAAACACCTCAGCTGCCACAGGGTGATCCTCTTCCCTGTCACCCCTTGTAGTTTCCAGAACAGAAAGAGAATGATTAAAAATGTTTATTTTACTAGAGCAAAAAGATTTAAAAAACAGATCCCACAACACTCAACTAATCCATTTAAAAAAATGTATGCTGCAGTTTCAAAAATCTGTTAAATTGTTGGCCATCAGTTGATTTGACAGTAATTGCTGCAAGAACCTTTACATGAAAATGTATACAAGGATCAGTAATGGAAATAATATGACAATATTTACATTTCAGATGTGCTGTGACTGTTGCTGGAGGGAGGTTTCTATGGAAACAAGGTTCTACTTTATGATGGGTGGTGATGGATATCACTAGAGAGAATGTACTGTATGTAACTGCATGAAGATTCAATCATGTTTTTGTTTTATTTCTGGATTAACTGAAAGAACCATTGGTGAGAATGAATTTATAACTTTAAATACATATTTCTTTAACAGAATGTCTGTAGACACAGCTGTGTATTTTGACATTATACCACAAACAAGAATGCAATAATTGCAGAGTACAACAAAATTGCAGCACCTCTTGTTATCCGTGAAGATAGATGTCACAACTTTACAAGCGGTGGTAGTCCAGAAGTCCCTCCTAAAGCAAGAACACATATGACACATCCGATACATATCTGTGAGCAACACTGAAATTATTAATCAGCATGCACATAAGAATGCTCTTCAGCCCCAATGGGAAAGATAAAGATCCAGAGCGATCACAGTCATGGCTGATTGTGGGACACAGTACCAGTAACCTTCAAATGTGCTCCTTTCAAGTAATCCACTGTTGTTTTTAAACAAGCTGTCCTTTACAGTTATGCCTTTGGGGTTAGCTTACAGCATGCCCTATTCAAAAGAGGAAATGCCTGCAGGATTCAAAGCAGATCTTCTGAAGTAACCCTGATATAATGGAATTTAAATATATAATCTTTATTATGTGCGTCAGTGTATTAGATTGATGGATTTTACCATTTGGCTTTGCTTCTTATATGTATATAACAGTCCTAACCCTTTGTTGCTATCTGGTTTACAGTTAGGATTTATGATATTGGTTCAAATTATTTAATATGTGAGTTAAAACCCAGGCTGCTATTAACATTTCTTCCAATACAGTCCCATTTTCAGAGAAACATTTAATTTTATGTGAGTTTTGGATGAGTATAAACATTTTCAAACATATTTCAAACCTATAGATTAGTGTTCATAGATAAATTAGTTATTTTCTACCCCCCCTTTGGTGGGTAAATTTTTTGGATTTAATGCTCTAGCTTTCTTCCAAAGACAGGGTTGAGCACTTGCACAAGAAATGAATATTTATTAAAAAACAATGAAAGATAAATACAGGTTTAATTGAAGTTTTTTTCTATTCTTTAAGAATGAAGGCAGCAAAGAATAGATTCTTTTGTGTTCTCTCTTGGTAGATTCTCTACTCTTCAGGGGAAACTAAATGATGTTTATTTGCCCAAAGCTCTAATTTTTACCTTGACACTCTTGAGAACATTAAATCAAGGTCTAACATTGAGAGAGGATAATGAAAGCTTCAGATTCTGCTATTGACCCACAAAGCATTGTGCTGCCTCAGGTGTTCAGATTCTGCATCATATTCTGATGATCACTATCACACTGTTCCTGGCATTACCTGTAATCTTTTGAGGCTAGTTTTCTATCTGTCCTG